TCTGATCATTCAACAGGCCATAGGATAGAAGTAGCCACTCCTCCTTTGGCATAACATACAGCTGGTCATAGAAGCTCCTATATCAGAGGGCACAGCAGCAAATACAAGCTTCTCTTTAGCTCCATAAGCAGTAGCTCAACCATTCAGCAAGATCATCAAATCAGCTACAACTTCTCCTTGTTCAAAACACCAGAAAGTATCTCCCAAGATCTAATCCAGAACAAACAGGATGCCTGCTCTGATACCAATTGAAATTCTGGTATGCAGATTTCAGATGTCCCAAGAACATTGATCTCTGCTAAAAAAGGACGAGGACAGACCATGATCAATTTAAATTTCTTTAAATTGTACCAATGTCATGACCTCTGTTGTAACATCTGCATGCTGACAGACCTATTTATCTAACCATTTAAATTGTGCAGAATTGTAAATACAGAAAGATAAATAACACAATAATTGTTTACCCAGTTCGGTGCAACATCACCTACATCTGGGGCTACCAAGCCAGGTAGGAAATTCACTATTAGCAGAATCAATTCAAAGTCAAACAACTAGTTTGCACTTCTCACTTAATCTCTACCCAATGTAATTTCAGACTAGAGACACTCTAGTACTTGACCTGAGTATACCCATTCACTCCCCCTCAAACACAACAGTGATTTCAATACACAATTACAAAACAGTTGTGGAGATACACTCCAAACACACACCATGATCTTGCTTCATACCTTTGATCAAGTGAGACACACTCTTGCTTAAAAGCTTTGAATGACATAATGAACACATCAGTTCATACATAATAACCAAAGCAATTATATAACCTACAATTGCTTGGTACACAAGGAATCCTAAGACTCTTAGACACGTGAAGAACAACCCTCTTCACTTACAATTATGTCTACCAAAATGCATCATACAATGCAAAGAGTGACTTACACACAAGGGACTCTCAAACCCTAGACCTTTTCTACACTCTGGTTTTTCTTGATGTGAGTGCTTAATTTCTTTTGCTTCTGCTCCTCCTTTTATAGCTGTGCAGACTGGGCTTGGGCTGGTCACAAGTAACAAACATCAGTTTTAACAAAGTAAAACTAATTTCCACAATTCAAGGTGCTGTCAAATTAGGTCATGGCTTTTCATATATGGTCAGCACTGCCTCGAATCTCTCCTGAGATAACTCAGGAGTCATAACAGGTTTCCTGAAGTATAGCCTGAGTTTCCTCTTGCAATATAACAGAAAACCAAACCCTGCTCGTCTGATGTCAATTGATCAATGTCATGACATTCAGTATGACTTCCACTCTTCTGCAGATTTTTCTTTACACCAGTCCTGGCTTCACCCAATCTTCTGTAGAATAACATTAGAAACAAGTATATTAAAGTTTCCTAAAAGGTCTCCAAGATCCTTTTATGAATACCAATACAATCTGTTCTTGTTCCTAATAAATCTCCTTGACATATTTACTGATGAGGTATTTTCAACATGGTCTCATCAATCCAAACTACTTCTGTCAAGTGATGTACACTAGCATCTCCTTCTGCTGTCATGCAGCTATGTCTTGCTTAAAACACATGACAACATACCTCACTCACCGCCTGCGAGGAACTTCATCACAATCAACCTTTTGTGGCTACTGCTAACACATAACAGCTACTACTATACTAGGCATTGATGGCATGCCACTCAGCTCCTGCTAGCTCCTTCTGCATCCATGACAGCAGTTATGTCATCAGCTCTTGCTAGCTCCTTCTGCATCAGTAGCAATGTCATGAGTCATCAGCCCCTGCTACACCACTAATCCTGTTGTTTCTCACACATGACAGTAGTTCTGTCATGACAGCAAATGGATGTCGTGATGGATGTCATAACATTCAACATGGCATTCTCATCAAAACACTCCACAGCAGTTCTGTCACCACAACAGATGTAGATGTTATAATATCCTGCTTAACATCAGTGCAGAATCATGTTTTACCAAAATTTAGCCAATCCTAGAACCATAGAACCATGGTACTAACAGACTTCATTTTAATGATTACGTCATACTTGTCGGGGTTGACCTCAATACCTATTTTTGTCAAGTAGAGCTCAAAAAATTGTCGGCCCTTACCACAAAGGTGTATTTCTCAAGTTTTAAGTGTCATATTATATTTCCAAACATGATTGAACACATCGGTGATCATGTCATCCATGTGTACTTCTAGCATCCTGATGATTTCTTCCTTAAAAATATTGTTCATCATTGTTTGGTACGTAGCACCTATGTTCTTTAAGGTTAAGGGTACACCAATGTATTAATTATTAATGTGCTTCTTCATGAAGGTGGTTTTGTCTATGTCCATTTTGCGCATAAGAATTTGATTTTACATGGAATAAACGTCCATAAACGACAACAACATGTACCCGACCGAATTGTCCATCAACTTTTCTATGCTGGATAGTGTATATCAATATTTAGGGTATTTTCCATTGAGATCTCTGTAATCAACATGCGTCCTCCATTTTTTTGATTCTTTCTTAACCAGGATGACTTCAAGAAACCATTTAGTGTTCTTCAGATAGGAAATAAAATTAGCTTGCATGAGTCCCTAAATAATGCATTTATTGGCCTCAACTTTTTAAGGGGATTGTTGCATCTTTCTCCCGCCTTCCTTTTTCTCTTAAGGGTTGTCGTAGTTGGATATATCGACAATGTTTCATGTATCAAATGGGCTGCATATAGATCAACATAGATGGTGACAAGTTCATCATAGATGTTGTGGTACTTCATGTTTAGGTGGATGGTCAAAACGACAATGTTGAGTGCTTAAAAAAAAGGTCTCTCCAAGATGCAATTGTAGATGCTTTCACAGGGGAATACCAGGAATTACATGTCTAATGTCCTTATACCTTTTCCTTATCCCGGATAGACTAGTAATTATATACTTTCCCAAGGACGAGTTTTTAAATCATTCAACAACACCTGCAAATCCGTGTCTTCGTAAGGTGATAATCTTCATTTATCCAATCTCAGTTCCTCAAAGAGACTGGTGTACATGATGTCGCATGAACTTCCCCATCAAAAAGAATTATCAGTATTATGCGATTCACTACCTTGGTCGCTATCACCAACATAAGCACTTTGTTGGGGACATCGTCCACTTTTTCTTTATCTCGGAACCCTAGAGTTGATCGTTTGTCTTTTGAATCTTCCTTTTCAGCCTTCATTTTTGGACCCAAGACACTTGTATTCATAGATCTTTTGACTGGTTCCTCCAAGGAGAATAATCCTCCAGTAATCAAGGAGACGATGTGAGGTGGAAATGTGACGATGGCTGAAATTGGAGCAATGACTTCGATCATAAGGTTGCCGTTACAACGAGAGACCATTTAAGTTAATTCATAAGTTACTGTTATCGGTTGAAGAAATTATTGCCAATTTGATCGATTGCTAAAGTGATTGTGACGATGCAATAGAAAGGATTTGATGAATTCAACGTAGAATTTTGTGAGATAAAAAAATTCTTACCATAGACGATACTATTATTATAGTGTGGAATAAAAGATTGATGACATATTGATGAGATACTCGTTGATACAACGATACATGTCTCTGATACACGTTTCTTTTCTAAATAATAAAATAAAGACATTTATATGATACGTTACAACTTAAAAATATTTTAATTAAATAATGTGTTTACTTTAAAGTATTTCAAATGAGAATAGTTATGTTAGTTTTAGTAAATAATGAATTTGTTTATCTTTTTCCTTTCTATTGGAAGAACTTAACATGTTAAAGTATTTACTATCTAACATAAAAATTGGAGTAGTAATTTATTATTATTATTTTTTCATATAAGGAAGAATGAATAAAATTTTAGAAAATCAAAGAATTTTTGAAATTAATATTAAAATTTTGTATTATTATAATAATAATATTATGAATTAAATATTTTTTTGGCAAATAAAGTGTAAGATTATTTGAGAGAATAATAGTAGTGAAAGACATATTAATATGATAATGTAAATATTATAATAAAGAGATTTATGTTTAATGATTATGTTTCAATGGTATTAAGAAGAAAATGAATTATTTTTCTTCAAGATATTTTATTATTTTAATGATGTGACAAAATGATGATTAGACGTGAATAAATTATTTTGAGATTGTGTTTTAATATAATGATGATAGATATATGTTATGCAACTTTTCAAAAGTTTCTTAAATTTACTACCGTTACTAAATTTATAGAACTCAAAATCACACTCAACAATGGGTATTAGTTTTTCATAATTGTTATAATTATTGGTCTCATAATGAAACTATATTGTTCTTTCCCCTCTTTCCACCAATTCTCACGTGATGAGAAAAAGGCTTATCTATACTATGTATAATATAAAAATAGTCATTTCTGTATTTTAAAAAGAAAAGACTACTTAAGTGGAGTGCTCCACAATTTAAAAAGAATCTTATTAAAATGCACAAACAAATCTATAAAAAGGAAAAAAGAAACAAAAAGGGACAAGGTACTTTATTAGGAAGAAACCTATATAGCAAAAGCAATCCCTAAAAGAGATGCTCGAATTAGTTCAGATTTAGTGGTGCTACAAAAGGGGTTAGACATCAGAATAATGAGACTTCATCTTGGAAATTTTCCCCAAGCGCCAAAACTCCAAGGACAAGAAAGTTTTTGAATACCATACCACAAATACACACCATTAGATTATCTTGGAACTTTAAAGGGATACAAATCACAAAGTAAATAAGTAGAGAAAAAGGAAAGGAATGCATATAGATCACAATTCACAAGATTCCAACCATTATCATTTCCAATTACTATACAATATCATTATTCAAAGGCTTGAACAAAAGCTAATTATTTCTAATTTCTGAGCATTTAATGGAGGCATAGTTAAAGGAAAAAGAATTAAGCATCCAGGTAGAATAAAGGAACATCTCCAATCCTTTATATCAAAAAAACAATACATCTACACATCCTTAGGTGGTATTTATGAATCATGAGAACGAACCAGTCTTCAATTTTGGTGTTTTCTGTTTGACAAAGAAGGCTGACAACACGCTTCTGCTGCGAGGAGGGGTTTGGGCAGACTCGCGGCGATTTGCGTTGTCAAATGACCTGAACCCTGTCATTGGTTTGGAACCATCCAATGCATCCTGCAGGTAGAGACTCCTGAGTAACTTATTGACAACATTTGTTTTACATTGTACAAAAACAAAGGTAACGTGAATAAATACATTCTTCAACTATTGTGGTAGAGCAAAATGGCAAGCTGGAAATATTGACTATATTTTCAAATATTTGGTTCACCATTAGATAAACTATGGTAACATTAAAATGAATCCAATGTACAAAGATTAAATTTCACCATTTATATTATCTTTCCTCTTCTCCTAAAATTTTTATATTTTTTTTCTTCTCAAATTGATAGAACCAGAACATCTTTTGTTGACTACATCTTCTCCCAATGTGACACTGTCTACAATTCTGAGTCAACCAAGCATCTAACTAAATTTTCTTTGAAACCCCCTAATGAATTTTCCCTTTGCACTCTGCCCTAGGACCCATCAGAACACCAAACTTGCTATTGTTACTTCTACTTGATAAGTCCTTAGTAACCATTTCACTACCTGCAAATTATTATGGACCAAGTTTTACTCTAGTGAGCCTCCAATCCCCTAACTTCCTGACCTTAATCCAAGCCTTCTATATATATTAATTTTACTATCAACCAGAAACAGAAACAATTAGGATACCACACTAGAACTGAAGAGCCACGCATCTTCTTATCTCATTTAATGACATTGTAGCTCAAGTAAAAAATCTCAGTTGAAAGTTCTTTTATGGGATGCATATGCAATTGGAACATGACCAGTCATCCTCAAACCAAAGTTTCTCAGTGTAAACTATGAAATGATAAAATTTATTGGGTGGATGGCGTAATGATCTCCAAAAAAATCCTATTTCTACCATTGAACAAACAGTCAAAGGGGAATGCATACAGAAACAGAATCCAACACAACCATAAAGTATTCGTGGTTATATCGTTTTGTAAGAATATCATACTAAAAATATGAACTGCTTCTACCCAAGACTAGAGGAGAACACCTCTCAATCAATCATTTCTTGCCAAAAACTTATGTTAGTTAAAGAGATAAAGAACAATGGCCTGGACTTACTATGAAGAAGCAGTTCTAAAGCAATGTGGTATAAATATCAATTGAAGCCCTCATTCTCTCAAGAAGCTTAGACATCAAATATAAATGCTTTGAACCAGTGTTTATGCCCATAATGCACCAGCTACGCCCTATATTGGCTACTAATAAAATGCAGAACTCTATACACTACTGCAATACAGAGCTTATTGCCTACATGAGCTGTTAAAAGAAATTTAACACCTTTTTCCTTTTCAACCAAGTGCTAGCCAAGCAATTTCAGCAAAAATTAACAAACAGGTTCTGAACACTGGCAAACAACGAGCAAAGAATAGGTAAATGACAATCACAAGTTGACCATTAAATACGGCACCGCCAATTTCAGTTCTTGAAAAATAATATGCAATTACCCTGCGTGTGCCGCCAAAACTTTGCACATGTATAGTAGAAGTAGGAACTCCATTCGGTAAGTGAATTTGTGCTGGTGAGGACTTTGTCCCGGTGCTCTCTTCATTGTCTGCAGGCATATAACCAAAGACTATAAGGAGATATAATTTACACTTCAAAAAATAATCATAGTGTGGCTTGTTTAAATGAACTATTATAGCTACAAGAGATACAGTTATATCACAAACCTAAAAGGTGAAAAAATCCAGAGGCCTTGGCAGAAAACTTTGGGTTCTCTATGCTGCAAAAGAAGATGCCATATGATAATTCCATTCATGTTTAGAGCTGAAATCAGAAATTCCAGCAGTATTGTACAGCCTCATACTATGAAAAAATTTGAACTTACTTTGGGGAAGCATGCGGAGTCCCTTTCAATGTAGACTTAGTCTCTGATGCTAAATGCCATGAAAGAGTTTTCGCTGGAGGGGTACCTAGATATAGAATATATATATTCCAATCAGTAATATGGTACTCACTTATGAAAAACTAACCACGGCCCGAATCAATGTGAAAAACACTAGGAGGGACAAAATTTCCCCCACCACACACCTGAAGATTGAAAACGAGTTCTGGTTTGAAATGAATTCTGTTTTGCATCAATTTGCACGTGTGGACTGAAATGTACCTTTTTATTGACAGAGTCTAGCTTGCAATGTTAAAGAAAATGCACAGAATCATTAGTAAGAACTACCGGTATAGATATGTAGTGCGATAATCTCATCCAGACGAACATATAAGCAGTGAGGCCTACTTGGTAAAATATAGTGCTTATGATGTCTGGGAATGAAAGCCAACAATTGCTGCTGCCGAAGGCCTTCTTTATCCGTATAAACTTGGCACGTAAGAAGTTTCTGTTATTAAGAAAATATGTTACTCATATGTCTATGAAATCAAAACATAATATCTAAAATAAAGCTGTAATTACCTGATTTATTGTAGAGACCTTCAAATCCATAGTTGAGACATCCAACGTGTGCTGCTCGAGAAGGTCGGTTAACTTATATGCAACAGTTCCAAGATGATCAACAGCATTCACAAGGGCTCTCACAGCGTAATCTTTTAGGTTGTCAAGTACCCTAATGCATTAATAGCATATAGCTAAGGAAAATTCTATACAGCTCAAACACATGAATATGTGAAAAGAAAATGTTATTGACAATGGCACCCATTTATATCAACCAGAAGAGTATGCAGGGTCCTATAATACCAAAGGAATCTTCCTCAACTAGTCACCAAAATTTTGAGGGACTCAATTCCTTTTAGGAATACTATAACACTCTTTTTCACTAATTTCACAAATGAAACATGATCTTACTTTTTAAGAATCGGTATAGTGAATGCTTCAGCATTTATATAAAAATTATGGGGATACTATTTGATGCTAAGGATTCAGTACCCCAGAAATACGTTACAAAAGAAACAGCTAATGCTCTTTTAAGTTCCACATCATAAACCATCCTAAGTTTGTTATTACAAACCATCTTAATAAAATAAAAGAAATACAGTACAAATTTAAGTATGCTTTTTATCCAAAAGTTATTTCATTTTATTCACCTATAGCCTCAAAGCAAGTCGCTAACATTTCATAAGTTCTATATACAGCTAGCATATATTGAAATGCCTAAGTAGACTGTAGAAGAAAATTTAATTTAATCGGTAAAATTTGCAACCTGGGTAAGAACTAAATAGAAGAAAAAATAGCACCGCTAATTGTTTGTCCCGTGGCGGGAGCTTCAGTCATAGACATATAACATCAGCCAAAAAGAATCGGATTAAGGCTGCCTTCAAGAACACGTTGAAGAAAAAAAAGTATTCACAAAAAGGAAATCCTTACATTTGTTTCTGTTCACTAAGGAGATAAGATTTTTCACAGTATTCTGCAGCAGAATAAAGTTGAGGCCTCAGGTTCTTAAGTTCCTGAAATGACCATAATATAGGGATAATGATTGTCAACGCATGTTTCAAATGGTAACTAACCACAACAATCAAAGAGAAAAAGAATCAAACAGTACCCTTAGAAATTAAACAGCCATATTAGTCCCTTAAACAGTGATAACTATTACTTAAAAGGCCACCTTAAGTATCCCTGCGCCTATTAGTGTCATTTGAATACCCGATTCCATGAATAGAATCATTTAAATTACACCCCATTGACTTCTGTTCCAAATTTCCAACAACTCATTATTCACGATTTCAAGCTAAACAACTCTAATAACTGTTATAAACTAAATAATCTCATAAAATATTCTCCAAATTTATGATACTCAGTTACAGCCTGATGCAAATGTTGCATACACTGGACTATTGCAGCGTTGTGATGCAGATTTTACTGTGATTTACAATCACTGCAAAAGTGGACTGATGCGGATGTGGATATCGACATTTGGCATACTGCAATATTAAGCCGCACACTGTGCTTCCGTCCAGAGATGAGATCCTCTCAACGGTTCATTTGAAAAGAGATACACATAAAAAGTAGTAGTGAATCTCACTATGAGGATGTTTGGATTGGTTTATTTGAATTCAATATTCATCTACTGACATAAGTTTTGTGACACAATCTGAAAGACTTCAAAACAACTAACATTATTTTTCATATATTTTAAGCCTATTTTCATTAGTTTTCTAAAATATCTTACGAAAAAAATTATAGCAAATACAAAAACAATTTAGTTTAATTTTTTCTTTTGTTATAGAAATAATTATATAATCCTATATTACATCAGCGCTTATTTTGATAAGCACTTATAGCCCAAGTTTTTGTTAACATTTTTCAAATTTCCGTTCCTACCGCTTTCCAGGTAGATTCTTCGGATCAAGCCTATTAGGAGCAGTTTTTCCAGCATTAAGCTTGAATAAAATCACAATTTCAAAATTAAATTGGCAACATACACAACTAGTTATGCCAGATACAAAATCCACCAAATAAATCGAAACAAATACAGATCTGAACCTAAACAGCAAAAAAAAAAACAGAGAAAAAGGTGAGAATCGTCATAGAGAGAACCTGCAAGGAGTTAACGAAGCTCTTGCTGCGTTCCATGGAAACTTCATCGAAGGTCATAGCGGAGTTGTGAAACGTCGTCGCTGGGTGCTCCAACTCCATGGCTAGGTATAACAGAAACGTAACTAACTCAACTAACTAACTAATCAATCAAAAACTTGGATCACTCAAATTGCAAAAGAAGAATGTTATTAGAATTAGAAATGCAGTTGAACCGCCATTGATGATGTTATGATTAATTCATAATGAAAAGAGAAAAGAAGAGAGAGAAAGAGAGAGTTCAATTTTTTAGTGAAAAATGAAAGTGAGTATTTAATGCAAATGCCAGGTGGCAGGTGAGTTAGTTGAAACTAACTTCTACTTCACTCCATTTAGTACCCGACGGTGGGTTTGTTTAAAAGACGAAAATATCCTAAGGGTTGATGGTTGACCTAACACCACTTGCAATGGCATTCAGAAAAAATAATTGCATCATTGTAATCAATGTATTTATGTATGTATGTGAATTTAATATTTAATGCACACCTTTCTGTTTTTTTCTTTCTCTTCTTTTTCTTTGGTACAATTTCTGTTTTTGTTATATACGTTGCTAGTGTACTCCTATATCATTGTTGCAACTTGCACTTACCAAATACTACTAAAATATAAAGTGAATTAAAAATGTACTTTATTTCATAAATAAGATCCAAATTGCTTATTCACAACTAATCACTCATATAAAATAATAAAGAGAATAATCAATTTAGTATTATATATTTCTTTGTGCAATTTGCTATCTTTTGGGTTGTTTTATTCTAATCGTAGGTTTGATTTGTCATTGATTTGTGTTAGTTTGAACTATTCATTTTTCGATTTTCTAAGTTGTTGAATTCACTGCAAACTTTTCAAAAAATTGCTATGGAGTTGTCTTTTTTATTTAAGCCTTTAAATTTTTGTTATGGGTGTCGCTTCTGTTTTAATATGGGATTCAGTATCAAGTTGGATTAGAATTACCATCGAAGAACATTCAAGTTGTTGTTATGGTTTCTTTCTGAACGCAAATGAACTTGTTGGAGTGTCTTTGTGTGCGTTTTTGCTTGGAGGTTCTAACTTAACAAATGTTGTGCATTTATCCTGTGAGATTTTGGTTCGAACTCAAGCTTTGTCGAGGAATAGCTTTCATGTATTTTGATAGGAGACAAGTAGGAAGTCGAAAATGGGTCGCTTGTTGTGGTTGAAGGATACATGTTGTAGTCAAAGTCTGTTTTAATATATATTGTTGAAATGTTTGTCGAATTGGGCCTTTTGTTATGGATCCAATTGTTTAGTTAGCTTGAGTTGCAAGTTATCTAGTTAGTTTATATATATGCTAAATCACTCAGGTTGTTAAGCGAGACCAATTGTGATATTTATTTGTAATCATTTGTAAACCTTTATAAAAAAGTGAATAGTAAACAATTTGCCCTAATCCTTCCTCTTCTTTCTTCTTTATCCTTTCTTTTTTTCTCTCTTTGTTCTAATAGTTTTCATTGTTCACCCAAGAACTTCGTTTCTCAATCTTGATTTGTTGAAAGGTATCGTTTGTGATCACAAAAAACTGGTGCAATGAGCATGAAGAAGATGTCTTCAACAAAGTTTGAAGTTGAGAAGTTCACCGGAGTTAATGATTTCGGGTTATGGTGTTTGAAGATGCGAGCCCTTCTTGTTCAACAGGTTTTGCTAGAAGTGTTAAAGGGAGAAGATGCCATGGATGCTCGTTAAAGGGAGAAGATTCCATGGGTGTTGCATTGATGGAGAAGGAAAAGACAACGATGACGAAAAATCTCACAACACAATTGTTCTGAGTCTTGGTGATAAAGTTCTCAAGTAGGTTTCGAAGGAGAAGACGACGACTGGTGTTTGGCTGAAACTCGAAGGATTGTATATGATAAAATCCTTGGTGAATCGTTTGTATTTGAATCAGGCTTTGTATTCATTCAAGATTACTAAAGATAAAGCGTTAACGGGGAAGCTGGATACGTTCAACAAGCTGATTCTTGATCTTGAAAATATTGATGTTACCATCAATGATGAAGATCAAACGTTATTATTGTTGTGTTCTTTACCTAAGTCACATGCTCACTTTAAAGAAACCCTCTTGTATGGAAGAGAGTCTCTGGCCTTTGAAGAAGTTTAAGCAGCCTTGTATTCGAAGGATTTGAACAAAAGAAAGGAGCAGAAACCATCATCATCAGTTGGCGAAGGGTTGTCCGTAAAAGGGAAATCGTCGAAGAGAGATGGTGGATTTGATAGGAAGAAAAGTAAAACTCAACAGAAGTCTTACGGTGGTGATATTTATGGGATTAAGTGTTATCACTATAAGAATGAGGGTCTCACAAGAAATATGTGCCCTGAGCGCTTGAATAATCATGGAGGTAAGGACAATGGGAATGCAGCTATGTGTGCAAGCCGAATAGGTCTTTGTATGGCCTGAAACAATCTCCTCGATAGTGGAATAGGAGATTCGACAAGTTCATGGCACACATTAGTTTCACTAGGAGCCAGTTCGACCATTGTGTATACTTCAGATTTCGACCTGAAAATTCACTTGTTATTTTGTTGCTTTATGTGGATGATATCCTCATAGGTAGCAACAGTGTTAAGGATAAAGGTGAAGGTTGAACTCAGCAAGGAGTTCGAAATGAAGGATATGGGAGCTGCCACCAAGATTCTTGGGATTGACATTCGGAGAGATAGAAAGCAGTCAAAGTCGTGCTTATCTCAAGAGACATACCTATGGAAGCTTCTCAACAAGTTTGATATTTCGAATTCGAAGCTTGTTGTGACTCCAACAAATCCTCAGTTTAAGCTTAGTACTACTCAAAGTCCGAGTAGTGAAGCTGAAAGAATCTATATGAGTACATTCCTTATGCTAGTGTATAAGGTTCTTTTGTGAGGGCAAACCGTCATACAACATACGATCTTGAGTTTCGATGATGACAAATTACAATCATGGATGAATCGACATTATCGGTTCCGCGTCTACAAAGACAAATGCAAATATTCCATCCACCATATCCTTCATATATCATTTAAAGTGCTTTACTTGATACAATATATACGCATGATATGTGGTTATGACTAAATGCATAAGAACTAAATAAATAACAATTTTCTGCAGATTTTCAGGCCAGGAGTCAACCATTGAGTCAGCGCATGCATCTGCGCTTTTCTCACGGGTCAGCGCAGGAAGGTATGAGTCGACGCATGAAGACCATGCATCGACGCATGAAGCTATTACTTTACTCACGGGTCAATGCACGCCGACCTATGGTCGACGCACACTGATGTCTCTTTAAATCTGCCCAAATCTACAGTCTATGCGTCGATGCATAGACCTGCTAAGGTCGACCGTTCGCGCGTTTGTGCTATTTTTGGAGACTTCCCACTATGTTTGAAAAGCTGTTAAGTTTGGTGTTTGGTTGGTTACTATATATAGTAACTTTGTTCAGTTTTATCAACAACAATTGTGAATTTGAGTCAATTGTCACAAATCAAGAAAAGTGAAAGAGGTGCCATCAAAGTTCATCAATCTTCATCTTTTACAATCCACAACACCACAACTACACACAATAATTTTTGGGGTGATTGTGATCTTGTTCAAGGTGATAAGGTCCGAAGTCGTGATCAGAAATCCGGTTCGGGGTGATTTTGAAGGTTGGTTTTTCTTGGATAAAACCTAGCAGGTTTTACCCTCCAAGATTTGGAGATTTTGGGGGTTTTTCGGTACGGATCATCTCTACCTAATTCAGCTGAGTGAAGGTGATTGAGAAGTGGTAATCTTCATCAATCTAGTAGTGGAAATCAGTGAAGCGTTCAAGAGTTTTCCGGGTTCGATTTGTTCATGCGTAAGATCAGTCGGGCCGAGGGTTTGAAGAATTGAAGGTTATTCAACAAAGGGGCTGGAATCGGAGGTCTACTCACAACGATCGAAGAACTTGATTTGACTCGAATCAAGGAGCAAGAAGTGATAGCATCATCAACTTCAAGAGGGCTTGATTGTATATTTTGCTTATCAATTCTTATATAAACATTTCTACATTACAGGTGATATCTAATATATTGATCTCAATTCTATTATTAGAATTGAGGGCAGACGTACCCCGAAGCGAGGACGGCGGGGGAACTGCCTCAACAAATCTTTGTCTCCTTTTACTTTTCAGCACTTTCAATTTTGGCTTAAAATTTAAGTGATTTTAGTACAAGCAGTTATATCATAAGTTGGGTTGATTTGAGTAAGTACTCACTACTGTTTTGAACTTTAGTGCAACAATACATTGCACAAGGAAATTAAAGTATCTTACTCAAGCTAAACCACACTTGGAGTGTATTGCACACCAAGTGTTTGATAAATTGCCTACACCAAAGTTTACTTAGTCCATTTGCCTACTTTGTGGGCATTATAGATCATTGGTGCTAGTTCTACTAATAAGTGATACAATCAACTGATAGTGTGACTAGTGTGTTGAATCAAACTTTGTTCATTATCATATCCATAAGGCTAGACGCATATCCGGTCGTCTAATAACAGTTCGTTCTTAGACGTAATTTTTCCACGGCTTCTTCCGCAAATTTAAAAACAAATATTTTGAAAAACCAAATTTTAATTGGTAGCGCCGACTGATTTTAATTGGGATCTATTCAACCCCCCCTTCTAGATCCAAGCCATTGTCTAACATCTTTGATGTATGATATGATTTGTACGAGGCCAGACATAGCGTATGGTGTGAGCCTTGTAAGCAGGTATATGGCCAATCCTGGAAAGGCACACTGGCAAGGTGTAAAGTGGATTCTCAGGTACATAAATGGGTCTCTGAAAAGAACCTTGATTAATGGTGGAGCCTGTGGTGGTGATAGCATAGTCGAAATTGAAAGATTTGTCGACTCTAATTATGCAGGTTGTATGGATTCCAAAAAGTCTATTTCTGGATATGTGTTCACTATATTTAGCACAACAATCAGTTGGAAAGCAACGCTTCATAAGGTTGTTACCTTATCAACCACTGAAGTAGAATATATTGTCCTCACTGAAGCTGTGAAAGAAGCATTGTGGCTTGAAGGTTTTGCAAAGTATCACTGTTAAA